GAGTGAAACTTTCCATGTGCTGGTGACTGAGGTCTCTCAGCCAGTGACCTTTCAGCAGTCAGCCTGGTAGAGATCAGCAGGAGCATGCACATCCGTGCTCCTGGAAGGAGAACACTCTACCTTCCTTCCTTGACCTGTGTTTTCCCCTGGACCACTGCTGCTGTTAGCCGGACCCCGCAGAGCTGGGCACCCCAGGACAGCCCAGAAGGAGAGGTGTCCTAGGAGTCTGCATGCTGTTTCTGCCCTGCCGGCTGTGCCTGACACAGAGAAAGCTGTCAGCAGCTCTGACGGATGAAGAGCAGGGAAACCAGCTGCTTGGCAGGCGGTCGCCTGTAAAGGAAGGGACCACTGCCTCTTTGTAGAGATCTGTGCTGGCCATGTGCCTGGCTGGAAGAGTGGAAGTGGGTAATACTGTGCTGAGGGAGGCTGTGAGGCTGAATAAATGTGAAGCCCTGGGACTTGAAGTGTCCCAGAAGATAGTGCTTGAGGTGTCAACGTCCTCTGCCTCTTCAGTGCCTCTTCCCTGAGCAGATGGAGGTGTGCAGTGTGGTAGCACAAGCTCCCCACTCTGCTGATTTGGAGCAGACCGATCTGTTTTCCATCCTTGCTCTTAGCCCTAGGCGAGACAACTTGTGGCAATGCAGATCCCTGGGAAATGGACAAGCTCTGGCCGTATATTAAGATCCACCAAAAGGTTAGGGGTTGCTAGTGTCTTCCACCTCGGTCTGTACAGATGTGGTGAGCTCAGGTTCATTTCCCGAGACCCTGCAAACAAGCCGGTCCCCATCTGCCCAGTGTGGACTGACTCTGAAGGTCTGGAGGGGAAAAGCTCTGTTTTGTATTCCCTGACCATGAGCCAGCCATTTGGCGTGACTTGGGAGTGGATTGGGACTGACAAACTGACATGGAAAGATGCCCTTAGTCGTTGATTTCTGTGGCCTGGGGTAGGATGGTGTTACTCAACCCAGTCCACAAATCCCAGAGCTCATCTGCCTAGAATAGAACCAAATAAACAAATTAATTCAAAGCAAATCTGCCTCCCCCAGCTGCGACACACACTGGAATGCATTGCCAACAGGATCCCAGTAGGATGGTTTTCCTGAAGTGTTGCAAGCCATGGAGTAATGTTCCTCCTCTGTTTTTCCTTTGTGAAGTTGGCAGTGCCCCTCGCAGTAGGTGCATATAATCCACTTTTCTTTGTAACTGAAGTGCTAATGATTATTTTATTTAAAGCCTTTCATATGTTGTTTTTAGTTTATTTGTTTTTTTTACAAAATCTGGTGATCCTGGAAATGGCAAGGATTGTCTCTAAAGCCAAGGCGTGGAATTCCTTCAGGCAGGCAATGGGTAGCGCCCAGCTAAGCACTGCTACTTGCAAGTAGCATGCTCCCTTCCTCAAGGATAGATACAAGGTGAGCATTTTCAAGCACAAGAGCTGATATTTCCCTGTCTTCTGCCACTGGTCACCTTCACCCAGCAACTCTTCAGCACTCAGGGCTGAAGTTGCCCTGAAGTGACCAGCACTAGGACAGTGAGTGTTGCTGGGCTGGGGAACTCATTTCTTTTCCTTGGAGTCCTTCCATCTGTGCAGTAAAAGACCTTGGAACCCAAACCATGTTCATCCAGAGGACTATGCCTGGGGTCTCTCACCAGAGATCAGAAAACAAATGTGCCTGAGCTTCCAAGGCTTGGTAGCTCTCCCCTAGCCTCCTAGAGCTCCTAACCGCTGTTCCTTTGTCACTAACAAAACCAGCAGTAGCCCACCAGGTAACAAAGCAGTAGGTAACAGGCACCAGAATTTCCTTCGCTGGCAGCAGGGCTGAATTAGTAGCTGAGAAATGCATGGGCAGGTCATGCCTGACCCCCATGGTCATCAGGTGGCACTCTGCAGAATCTCAGGAGAGCTTCTGAAACAGGCTGGTAGGGACTGAGGTGGGACTGAAATAAAGTTCACTTCTCTGCAATTATTCTGGTTAGCCTTCCGGATTATTGAAAAACAGGCACTATTTGCTGTCTTCATCTCAGTTTAGATCTTGATTTTAACAAGACAACAGATATTTTTATGAGCAAGTAATAATTTCGTCATCCATCTGTGCTCGTTGACAATCCCACTTGCTCTGTCTCCCTGCCTAAATGACCTGTAGCCAGACTCCGCTCCAAACAGCGTATGAACCTTCAGCCTGCAAAGCTGGGTGTCTGCCCAGCAGCACTGGTTACCTGCATTGCTTCTTCTCAGGACTCCTGTTCATGCCTCCTCCCAGCTGCTCAGCCACTCATTTTCAAGATTTTCCTGTGTTAGAAATAATTAGCTAATGAGTATCTGGACTGGGGACTTCTGTTTCTGGGATAAAACTGTTCGTTCTTGGATTCCTACAGCTCAAGGCCAGAAATGATCAATAGATCAATAAATAATCTAAAATTGCCTCCAGGACAGCACAGATTGCCCGTCTTTATTTGGTTATATTTGCACTTCTCTAGTGATATCTCATCTCCCAGAAGCACACTTTCCTCTCCTGAAGCGATGGTACTGGGAGCTGGGGAGTCCACTACTGAAGTGTTTTTTGCATAAGAAAAACAGCTATACTGCTGCCTGTGGGAGTGATTTCTAGTGGGGAGTCATTTGGCTTCTCTTTGCAGATGTTACTGTTTCATAGTTTGCCTTTCTTAGTTAGATTACAAGGCTCTTTACACCTGGCATTTTGTTCCTGTAGAGAAATATGTGCCCTGTAATCAGAGCACCTCTTCATCTTCTTTTTGCTAAATTGAAGAGATTGAATACTTTGTTTCTTACAGAAGGACATTTTCACCAGCCCTCAAATTACTTTTGTCATGTTTTCTCTCGTATCCTCTCCAGTTTTTCAACATCCCTTAGAAGATGTGACATACTTCACATCAGAGCTAGATGTGATATTTTAGCATATAGACACCCTGCTGTGATGATGATGTGTAGGGAGGCAAAAATACCTCTCTGTTCCTGCTGTGTTTCACTGCCCTGATGTCGGGGCATTGAACTGACAGTTCATATTTAATTGCTTGTCATTACCCCTGAAATCTTTTCAGAATTGCTGTTTTCCAGGATCATCTCCTTCCATCTGCAGCTGCTGCCTGCATTCCTTCTTCCTAGAAGTGTAATTCTGCATTTGGCTCTATTAAAATCCCATATTGCTTGGATGGATTTGCCCTCCACCGTGATCCAAACTGCTCTGTGTGATTGCTCTGTTCTCATCACGATACACCACATTGCAATTTTTTGTGTCAGCAGCACACATTATCAGTGTCGATCATATGTTTATTTCGAAATAAAAATATTTATTTCCAGATGAAATCCTTGAATCGTGCCAGGCCTCATACTGATCACTCTGGAACCCATCTAATTCCCTCCCCAGTGACAACTGCTTCTTGTGTTCTGTCACACAGCCAGTTTGTTATTGATTTCACATGTGCCTGATTGACATCGTACTGCCCTGTTTATTTTTTTATCAGAATAGCATGGGCTCTCAGCCTGTCGGTATGCATGTATGTAATTCTGTCGAATTATGAAAACGCACTCCTTTGACAAGAGTGGTTCTCCATAGACCCCATTGGCTTGACCTCACTTCTATATTCCTTTTCTTTAGTTCCCAGTTAATTGACCTGTGCATCATCTTTTCCATTCTGTTTTTCAGGGCTGATTTCGGGCTCGCTGGCTGACAGTCACTTTGTATATTGCGCTTGACCTGTTTGAATACCTGCACAGCATTAGCTCCCTTTCCATCTCCCCAGACCTTACCGTTGTTCCAAGCTGTCCAAGCCAGCAATGTCAGTGAGCCAGAGACGCTGTCAGCCAGCTCTTATTGGATCATCCAGTCCTGTTGGGTTTAGAAATCTGTGTTGCCCATAGACACTGTAACACCTCCCCTGTGCTGAATGTGACAAGCAAGATGGAAAAAAACATAAAATGGGACGAGCCTTTCTGGGCACTTCGGTGGGACAGAGGTAGGCTCTTTGCCCCAGCTGTTTGGTCAGAGATGGAGGTGTTGGATAGGGCATGCAGAAGACCTGTTGATGCTGAAGTTCAGTTGCAGAGGAATCCAAGGCTGGGACTTTCAAAGAAACTCAAGGGACATATGGGCAGTCAACCTTTTTTAGCCGCTGGTGTACTAAAGCCTTTTTCTGTGCAGGTGGTGCAGGTGAGAGTGAGGGAGACATTTGCCGGTAAGCACAGGGCACCCTCTTGGAGGCTTAGTGCTGCCAGTCAGTAAAAAGGAATGGGAGCAAGTGCAGTAGAGCAAGAAGTGCTTTTTTGCTGGCAAGATGCAAAAAACTCTGCCTAGCAGTCTACATGGGTTTATAAAAGAGTGTAAGAAGTGTGACCTTGTGAGCTGGATGGCTTCTCTGTGCTTAGTCCCCAGAAAACAATAAAAGCCATAAATGGAGTTACTGCAGAAAGTTGTAACTGCACTTACAGGCTTGAGTTCTTGGTCATTCTCTCTAGTTTGTGACTCTCATGGGCCAAGTTTTGTTTATTTGCTTGGCCTGACTTCTCTTCTAACCGCCTCACTGGTTTTTCGGTGCTCATTTGGGGCTGGGAAGGCAGGTCCTGAGAAAGCTTTCACTGTAAGAACAAGTGTATTTGGAGTTGCTTGTGTTTACTGGAGAAGGGATTAGCAGGGCAAACAGCAGCCCTTGAGCGTGATGAGCAGGCAGGGGTTCTTCAAGGGAGCTGGGGCATCCCTGTGGTGGGGCAGCCTGATGTGACAGTATGGGGAGGGTATCCTGGTGAGTACCATAGCTGCCAGGCTCAGGGCATGCAGCGTGGTCGCTAGGGTGAAATGGTGCCATCATGATGACTGAAAGCAGGTGAGGAGTGGGAGCCTGCTCAGGTAGGCAGAGCTCTGTGTCCAGGTGATGGCTCAGGCAGCTTGGCAGTGAAGGTTGCTGCAGGGTGTCCTGGTGGACAGGTACGGTGGGTCAGCACAGTTACTTGTGAGGAGTATCGGTTCATTTTTTCTCTTCCACAGGACTCAGAGCAGAATTGGCTCTCCTGTCTCCTCCCAGCACACAGGGCCATCACGGACTGTCCGGCGCTACCCAGCGGACAATGGCCAACTCACCTCTAATGCACTGCCCAATGGGAATGGACATGACCAGAGTAGCTCTGGGCCACACGCAGTTTCCCAGGAGCACACCTTGTCTGCAAGGGGTAAGGCCTCCAGGGCTGTCACTCTTTTGGGCTTTCTTGTTGGGGTGTCATGGGGAAGGGCAATGCTGTGACTGATGATCCCCAAGAAACCCTGGACTTCCCAGGACTGTGCCGCTGGGTGGGATGGAAAGGGAAGGTTAGCATGGGCATTGCTGGGCTTGGCGAGGAAGAAGACCCTACCGAAGGAGGACAGATCAGGGGAGAAAAATGCTGACAGCAGGGGAGAGAAGCCAGGGGGATGTGACAGGTGCCTCCCAGTGATGTTGAATATCACCCCAGCATGCTGCCCCGAAGAGAAATTGCCTCTTTCTGCAGGAACGGTGTCTCCCAGCTTCCTCCTTGGTCTGAGCAGCCCTCGAGGTCAGATTGTGCAACCAGCATCTAGTTCTTCCCTTTGGCTGCCCCCTTGGTGCCTTATGACATGAGCAGGGATCAGGCCAGGCTGCTGGGACGTGCAGTTGCTGAGCCTCAGCGCCTCCCCAGATAGGACAGATGCAAGTTGTCTTCAGCAGCTTAGCTCCCCCTGAAGCCGTGATTCCCCAAGGAAGCACCATGTGGCATCTCAGCTCTTACGAGGAGGGCCGTGAATCTGACCAGAGCTGTAATCTGAAAGTGGAGATTGAAATGGGGAGAATGGAGGTTGAGCACAGCAAGGAGGCCACCCACGGAAACAGCTTGCTTGGTGGGCAGGGCTGGAGGGCTCTGGTGTTGAGCCAGCTGGTTCAGGGTTACACAACAGTTCTGCCTGTTGTCCATTTTCCACTAGCCCCCAAGAGCTCTGAGTGCGATTTCCCGCTGTATCTAATCTCAGAATGGTGAGGGATCAGGAGGGGACCACAGGTAACTGCAGGAGGTCAGGGGACGCTTGTAGGGAGACATTGGTTTCCTCAAGCCCTGATGCTCTCTTTGATGGATACCAGTGTGGCTGTTCATGTGGGAATCCTTCCAGTGGTTTAAGGGCAGCCAGTCTCCTGCGTAATGATGTGGCTGGAGAAAGAATATTGTCTAAAGCAGAGAAACACCCTTTATACTGGAGTTAGTGCATGTGTGTCCCTTCACAGGGAGTTATGCCAGTCCAGCTGGGCAGGCAGAGCATACTGCTTGCCATTTTTCATGTGCTGACAAACCCTTACTGATGCTGGAGCAGAGGACAAGCTGGAGTGAGCAAGGGGCAGGGAGAGACACTGCCCTGGGGAGGGATACAGAGCCTGCCTTGCTCTGGGAATGCTTTGGAGCTTGAGCTGGGAATTACCAGCCCCCTGGCCTGGAGGTGCTGTTTCCACTTAGCACTGTCCTTTTTTTTCACAGGGGCCAACCTGACAGAGAAGATTAGGAAGATAAAAATCGTCTTCACGCCCACCATCTGCAAACAGACGTGCCGGAGCGGGCGCTGCTACAACAGCTGCGAGAAAGGAGACACCACCACTCTATATAGCCAAGGGGGGCACGACCATGATCCCAAGTCTGGCTTCCGCATCTGTGAGCACCCTAAGGCCCCCAGCCCACCTTCTCGCCTGCTGCCCCACTCTCCTCCTTCTACCTTTCCTGCCTCTGCAGACTGAGGGCGTGGGCTGCTGTAGGGGCAGGAGGAGATGGCCTCTCTCAGTGCCTTGGAAGATGTCTCCTGGGGTCTTTGGGGCTTACTCCATCTCTGTCTCTGGGGGAGGAAGATAGACTTTGCCTCATTGCTCTCTTTACTGGGCAAGCAACTAGTGTTTCCATCCCACCCCAGGTAGAGGGGACGCACGTGTTTGAGTCAGGCCTGCAGCCAAGCTTCACCGCCCCCTCCTTCTCAGAGCCAGCTCACTGCTTTCGTTGGCATCCAGTCTTGGGGCTGACTTTCATCACCTAATTTCCTCCTGTTCTCTCCTTTCACTCACGTGGCAGCCAGGAGAGCTGGCTGCAGGTTTCAAGCTGTTCTTATAAACAGGGTTGATGAAACCTCTGCTCGCCTTGCGGAGTTGCTGGGATTGCTCATCAGGTCACTGGGTTACCCAGATGTGGGTTGGGCACATCCTCTTGGAGCCAGTTGGTGGGAGCAGCCCACAGGACCTGGCAGGACTCGTCCTCTGAAAGCCTCTGTAACTCTCAAATTCTTTTAACACTGAGAGAGTGCAGTCTGGCTGTTGTGGACACCGACTGATATGAGATTGACAGGAATTTCTACCTATAACCCAGTCCAAAGATGTGTCTCCTCCCCCCAAAACTGGTTGCTGGGCTTGAGCAAATGAACTCAGAGCAGGGTGGGAGCTCATCCCCTGGTATGAACCTGACAAGCCATCCAGCCATGTGCAGCAGCAGCATCTCATCTCACACTGAAATGAGTCAGGAGGATCTATCAGGGAATCCCATGCCTTGTCTGAGTCGCTCACACTGAGAGACGCTCGGTGTTGCTCCAAGCATCTGATGAGGCCAGGAAAGACGTGACTTCAGTTTCATCTGCGGATGCTTTTTCTGAGCCTGTGCAGATGAACTGCTCCAGGTTCTTTTGTCCCACTCCACACTTCTCCCACTTGAGCTGCTGGCAGGGCCAGGGCTGGCCAGGAGACAGGCTCTGAGGATGTGGCTCGCTGCCCGTTCTCTCCTTCTGCCTCTCCCATCCCCACCGAGTTCCCTTCTAGGCTGGGAGTAAAAACCCTGCCAAGTGGGGAGGGGGCGATGCAGAAGAGAAGGAATTGTGCTGACTCGGCTGCATGCAGCTGCTGAAGCTCCTGCCCCACTCCGAGGGGTCCTGCTGTGCCAGCAATGCCTGGGGGGCTGCCCCACGGGGCATGGGTTCCCCAGGCTGGCTGCAGCCTCAGAGCCCAATGGAGGGCTCATCGTCTTCAGCCCGTGACTCCAGTCCCGCGCAGAGCTTGGGGAATATGGTGGTGCAGAGCAGGGACCCCAGGCTGCCTCGAGGCTGCAAGTGCTGACCCCAGCCCAGTGCTGGGCCTGCTCCTTGAGCACCGTGGGGCTAGTGCTGGCCCAGATCCAGCTGCCTGGCCTCCCCCGCCGCCCCTTGGCTAGAGGCAGCGTCTCAGTTTCGCTGCTGAGCAGACCTCTCTTTGCCTTCCAGACTTCTGCCAGATCCCCTGCCTGAACGGAGGGCGCTGCGTGGGCCGGGACGAATGCTGGTGCCCCTCCAACTCCACAGGGAAGTTTTGCCACCTGCCAGCTCCCTCTGTGGAAAAGAAGCAAGGAGGGAGAGCCCCAAAGACCCTGGCCAGCGGCTCCATGAAGCACTCCACCTACACCCTGCCCTTGTCCAATCAGCTGGGTGAGCGTGGCCAGTGGCCTCAGACCTTCCGTTTTCCTCCTACTTGAGTGCTCCTCAGATGTTCTTTAACAAGCCCGGGGAGGTTACTACCTCCTTATAGTTGCCTTTTCAGGACAGACTGTTAGAAAAGTGTTTCCCCTAATTTCTGAAGGGCTCAGCTTGTGGGGAAAGTTTTTGGTAGGTTTGTCCTGGCTTTGGGCCAGAGAAGTATTTTCTCTTAGGTGCAGTCTTCTTCTAGATTACCTGGTGGAGTCAGTCTGCTTCTCCCTTGTGACTTTGTTGATGACAAGATGCTCTTCGGGTGCCAGATTGTTGCCAGTTTGTCACAACTGTGCTATAAACTCATCTTCCAGCTTCCCTAAACCCTTCGCTGGTGAATGTCCACATCAACCACCCTCCAGAGGCGACCGTGCAGATTCACCAGGTGGCCAGGGTGCGGGGTGACGCAGAGGTGTCGGAGGAGAACAGTGTGGAGGCAGTCCTGGTGCCTCAGCTGGCCGCCATGCCTTGGTACACCTATGCCCACGGGAACGGCAACAGCATTGGCACCGAGAGCGGCCAGCAGCAGCGGAGAGCCCCGGGGCTGCTGGGGAGGTGCTTTCGGGAGGCTCTTCATGGGCAGGTAAGGGGTCACCCATCAAGTGTTGGAGCGTGGGTGTGGAGATACGTTTCTTGTTCTGGGGTACGGGTGCATTGGCTTACGGGGCACGGAGGGTGGCCTTTCATAGCGTGAAGCTCTTTAGCATCAGCGTGGGCATCACCCAGGTGCTGTGGGCACGGGCAGCAACGTGTTAGTACTTGGGAAGAAAATCCCTTGTTTTGGCCCAACAGGGAGAGCTTGCTGCCTTGCCCTGACCGGGCTGTGCCCTGGGGCAGCACAGCCCAGACTTGATGGCTTTCACACACAGTCTCGTTAAAAAAGGGTGCCCTATTTATAGCAACATTTACAGCCACACTCTGCGATTATTGTAGGAAACGTATAAAACATAGGAAAATTCCTTTCCCTCTCAGGCGATAAATGAAAGTCTGATTTCCATGGAACGACGCCTTCCTGGGCAGCTTGATCGGGGCTTGGGAAGCGAAGGCACGTGAGGGGCTTTCTCACCCCTGTCCCGCGGTCATCGTAATTTCTTATTTTGTCTTTCCCCATATGTTTCTCTTTCGTCACTGGAAAAGCATCGGAGGTTTTTGGCACCCACAGGAACACCTGTGAGCTCCCCTGGAGCAGCTCGTGCTCAGCGAGACCCCCTGGCTGGGCAGCCTGGGCCTTGGCCCCCTCCCCACTGCTCCCCAGCCCTTTCTGGGGGGCTGCTCCCCATTCCCATCCCATCCTTCAGTTGCTCCCATCCAAGCCATTTCTAGTGGGATACGTTCTCAGCCATTCCCTAGTGCAGGAATAAATGAGATCAGACCCTGGGGCTGGAAAAGCCCTGCTCCTCCGTGGGGAGATGGCAGCTCTGGGAGCGGATGACAATGCACAGAGATGCTCGCGGATGCCTGGAGAGGCTGCGGGAGTGCTCGGGGAGGGCGTGGGGGGCGGTGGGGCGTACCCTGGCTGTGCTCGCACCTCACCCAGCCGGGGCGATGCCGTGCCTGGGAGAGGGTGAGGAGCGCGTCGGGGAGCGCTCGCCGGGCGAGGGACACTCGTTTTGCAGAGGAAAGTGCCTGACTGCAGGCTCCCCGCCGGGCGGGAGCGGTGCACCCGTTTTGCTGGCTGATCGGCCCGGCGTGGGGTTGATCTCAGGGCTTTGCCGGGTGATATCATCTCTGGTTCGTCTGCTCTGTTTGATGTCCCCTTCCCCTCCGAGGGGTGCAGTCGAGGCAGTCGTGTGTTTTTCTGTCTGCACAACTGTTTGCTGTCTGAAACAGCGTCGCTGGTCCTGCCGTGTCCCAGCGGAGAGCTGTGCCGGGAGGGCTGTGCCAGCCTCTGACCCCAGGCTATTGTCCCCAGCCAGCCGTGGTGGACAGGCGTGCGTCCCGTCCCCGTCCCGCCAAAGCCTGATCCTCTGGTCCTCTCTCCGCAGTGCACCAACCCCCTGCCAGGGCTGACCAGGCTGGAGGACTGCTGCGGCAGCGTGGGGCTCTTCTGGGGCACAGACCGGTGCCTGGCCTGCCAAGATGGCCAGGCTGCCTTGCGCGGCCGAGGGGGCGTGCAGCAGAGCCGCGGGTCCCCTGCCGTGTGGCTCTCCTTCGCCCAGCGTCCTTGGGGACGGGCAGCATGTCCAGGGTGGCACACAGGGCCAGCCTGCTCCGCTGCTGCCCCGAGGAGCGCTCTGGTTTGGGCACCGGCCCCAGGCACAGCGCTTTCTCCCTGCACTGCCCCAGTGTGGGCGGTGGTTCCCGCCATGCTAGCGCTGCTCCAAGGGAGAACCGGGAAGAGAGCAGACGTGGGTTGAGGAGGTGCGATGCTCGATCGGTGGAGGAGGCTGCAGACTCGGCCCTATAGAGTTACGGGCTTGCTCTGGGCCCGACACGAGCTTGGCAGGGGCTCTGGAAATAACACTACATCAAACAATTGGCAGGAGTGCAGCCGGGGTCCGTTCCAGGGGCACGGGCGTCCAGCTCTGTTTCTGCTGCGCTGGGGAGCCGGACGGACTGATGCAGCGGGAGATGGGGATTCCTCAGTCGCTTCGCTTGGGGTGCTCGGTGATGGGCATGGCCCCTCGCTCTGTGGCCCCATCCCGTGCTGTGGTGGAGAGGCTGTGCTGAAGGACTGCTGGCTGGGGGGAGGCAGCCCCGCGGGCACAGTGGCTCCGGCAGCTGGTGCTGGCCAGGTCTGATGTAGGGCAAGGTGGACATGTCCAACGCAGTGTGGGCAGGGAGCTGCTCCCCTCTCCCCTGCCTGCCTGCCTGCCCCTGTTCATCACTGCCTGGCTGCTGGATCATCACATGCCTTCTTTGCATTTAAAGGACTAAACAGACCCCATGGTCCAGGAGACTTTGACCCCCAAGGAAAGTGGAGGTGGCAGGTTTTGTGCAAGCAAGTGTGGTGTAGGTGCCTTCTAGCTCTGCCCAGAGGCTCTCCCGCTTGCTCGCATGCATGCTCCCAAGAGCTGTTTGCGTCCTGTTGTCCTCCCTCGATTCAGTTCCTCCTCAGCCAGGGCTAGGGCCAGCTGGAGCCAAATTCCTTGCAATCACAGACGAGGTTGTCAGCATCCTGGAACCCAGCGCAGATCTGGGGAGCCCTGACTGCTGTCATCTTCCTGCTCTGCATGGCTCTACTGTGGCCCCGGGCCATGCTGCTACTTGCCTGCCCTCATCCGTGTGCCGGCCCCAAGGGAGCCTTGGGCACACGTGGTATGGGGGTGACCACGGGGTCTCCAGGTTCAGCACAAACAAGGAAATGCCCCACACAGGCCTCAGACCGCTTCTCTTTGTCCCTGGCCTTTGCATCCCCAGTCACGGCTTCCTCCTCCCTGTCTCACAGCACTATCTCTGTTTCTCACCCTGTCTCTCTGTGATCCCCCCATTAGGAAGCAGGGGGGCCACTGCAGTTAGGCTGCAGGTGGCTGCAAAATCTCTGCACCTCCTTTCTCTTTCACCATGCCAGGGTGCAGGTAATCGCTCAGCAGCCAGAGCTGCAGCAGCGATTTGCTCTGCTGGACTTAGATCTTCAGACTTTAAAATGTGTCTCTATCACAGGCTTCCAAGAATTGAGAACAGGCATGAAATACCCCCGTGTACTCCTTGCAGTCAGGCAGCCAGTAGAGCAAATGCACTTAAGAAATGTCTCCTAGCTGCCAGTGGGTCTCACTTCCATGGCTTAGCTCATGCCCTGTGTCCCAGCAGCAGCTGACACTCAAGGGAGTTTGTTACTGCTGGTCTTCATTGAGTGGGCAGATGCTTGTCTGGCTTTTTTTCAGATTAATTCCATGGGGATATGAAAAATGTATCCCTGTGGGTCTTCCGTCTTCCTGTGCCCCAAGAAAATCCCATTCTCAGTCCCTCTGGCTTTGGGCGATAAAAGTTCGCCCTTGGAGACCAAACGGCTCTTGTTGATTTTGGCAGGACTTCAGGCTAGTTGAAGGGGCCGTTTTCATCCTCTTTAATCGCGTGCAAGTGTCTTCCTCCTTTGGCTACCTCTGATTGACTGCCCCGTAACCAGCCCCACATGCAGGAGACCACACAGTGCAAGTGAAGGAAGCTTTAAGGCAGACACTCTGTAGAGGCAGCCTAAGAGAGCCCGGCTGTTGTAGAGTGAGAAGCCCAGATGGCTGGCATGCTTTTCTCTGGCGTGCTGGCTTCGCAGACAAGAGATCTTGCCCCAGAGTGGAGCCAGGGAAACAGTGCTTTGTCCATGATGTTACTGCTCTAGCGAAGCCCTTGAGCATTGTGACCTCTCATTGCCCCATGCCTCCTCTGCCAGGGCTCCCAGGTCCATGCCTCTCCAGTTTGAAGGCATCATTCTGCATCGTTCCTGCCTGTAGACCGCATCCCACACTCACATTTCTTCTGTCTCTGGTCTTGCTGGCCTATGTTGTGCTTGCTCAAAGTCACTGGGCTGTAGTTCAGTGACCTGGTGTCTCGTGCACAGAGATAACATGTCCAGTGGATGTTTCCAGCTTTCTTCTTGGCACTGTGGCCTTCAGACAGAACTTCTCCTTGCGCTTGTATGTCCCGGGGAGGTGTGCATCAGAGCAGACTTGACAGCACTGGGAATTTAATTCCAGCAACTAGAGACAGAAATGGCAGAAGCTAGTTCAGTGTAAACACTTACAAATGTACAGAAGTGCAGCCAGGCAAGCGCTAGACAAATGGAGAACTTGTTTGGATTGACTGTCTGCCCGAGACACTGATTGTTAGTAGAGTCTGGATATGTCCGGATGTCTCTGTCGACTGCAGCTTTCATGTTTGGTACGTGTTTGTGTGCAGAAAAACATCAGAGAAGAAGAAGAATCAGAGGCAGGCATCTGTCCGAACCTGCCATGACTAATCCCCGCTATTTTTTGTGTTTTGCCCAGCATCAGAAAAGCCAAGGCACTTCAATGCTTTGTCTGCATCCTAAGGAGACTGTGTTAAAAGCTGAGTTTAGAATTAAGGTAGGGGTGGGGCTGACCTGGCCAGGACTCTCTGTAGCGGGTGTTACATTAATCTCAGAGGTTTCCTTAGGCTCTACTCAAGCTTTTGGCTGTCTGGTTTGCTGCTGAGAGGGTGTATATTGTTAGGCCCATTCAGAGAAGTGGGCACAGAGACGGGTATTCGAGCAGTCTGTAGCAGAAGTCGCTGGAAGTTTGCTGTTGCTTATGTAAGTGTGAACTGAAGTTGGGATCCTCAGCAGATGTCAGAGATGGCCCTGGGAGAAAGGAAGGAGCTGAGACCTTACTCCATGAGCTGTTGGGGCAAAGGCTGTCACCCAACCCACGAAAGAAAGAGATGAGCCAGAGCCAGGCCCTGGAGAGTGGGAGGACGCCTGCATGCTGTTGTGCAGCTGCAGTCCTTCAGCTCCGTCTGGAGATGGCTGGGTGAAATGTGCTGCGCTGTGAGATAGGATAAATCAGATGGAAACATCCAGTGACCATCCTGGGTCTTTAGTACTTGGAGAAGGTGCTGGACCACACACTGAAAGGCTAGAACAGAGAAGCAGGAGTATATGGGAGCTGGAAGGTAAAACGCGGAGAAGACCGATAGAGGAAAAAGGGAATCAGAAGCTATGTAGAGACACTTGGATGTGGCTGGGAGGAAGCCCAAGAACCAGAAGGGTATTTTAGCAGTGCTGGTGAGGAAGCTGCACTGAAGCAATGTCCTGTCCCATGGCAAGCTCAGGATGCGGGGGCTAGTAGCAGGCACACTGCTGGGCAGAGCTACTCCTGTTTAGCTGCCAGACCATATACTGTTTTGGGATATACAGTGGTCTGTGGAGAAGAACATGCTAGAACAAGGTCAAGAGATGGTCTGTGGAAACTAAAACTAACAAGACCCAAGCTACAGGTTGACACAGACTCCAGGGAGGGTGTGGATTTGGACACTTGGTTCCCTGAAGCCTTGGCCTTCCTCAGGATAAAGGAAACTGGTAGCAGAGAGTTTTTTATGAAGGTGAAGTGAGCCAATCTGCCTGGGGAGGGGAGGGTCACAGCCCTCCTCTGCTACCTCCTCCCTGTCCCTGAGACCACACAGCTCTGTGACCAGCAGCATTCCAGGAGAAGCCCACACCAGTGGTAGACACCCTCTCCCCTGCTGCGCAGGAGCTACAAGTCTCACCTTTCTGCAGGGGCTTGGGGAACTTCCTGGCTGCAGTAGTAAACCTGTGTCTTTCAGGTCCTGGTTTTTCAGTGCCCCCGGTCCCTTATTTCAGGCTGCAGTCAGCCTGAGCATGGGCTGGGCTGCGCACCTACCGGCTGTCCTCGCTGCAGATCTCTCTGGGCTGCTTTCTCTCCTCCTGCTGATGGGTTTTAACTGCATTCAGAAACAAGTCTTTGAAGGCTATTGTTTTGTTTTTATTCCAACTCCCTGTGTTTTTTCAAGTTTTTTGTCCTAGAGAAAAGTCTGAATTTCACTGGAAAGTTGGAACTCATAATGTCTGGCTTGGCGTCCGCAGCACTCGCCAAACAGACCTCCCACCGCGAGAGGGGTGGCAGCTCACCCATGGAGCCGTCATCATCAGAAACACTGAGCGGCTCTGCAAGCCACCCGCTCCCCTGCGCTGTGCCTGCAGGCATTGAAACAGCCACAGGAAGCCCCTTGAAAATCAACCACCTGGTCTGCTCTTGTTGCGATCAGATTGGGGAAGATACAAGAAAAAAAACGTGCAAATATGGGAAGGAGACTACGGAGGGGGCTGGTTCTGCCACCACTACACCGTGTGCCACAGGGATTCTGTCTGGGACAGTAAAGAAGGACTGCAGATGGGGCAAGAAGCTGAAACCTTTGCAAAGTTGTGGCAGTACCAGAGAGAGCGATGATGAACCTGGGGAAGCGCAGCGTTTTCAGGACTGCCTTGTTCTGCAGAGTGCTTGTTTTGCCCATCATTCATGTGCAGCATCGTGGTCTCAGCACACAGCAGCACAGTGTTGCAAAAGCAGGTTTTTTTAGGTACGGAGGTACCTTGTGCCAGCTGGAAGCCACTGTGGGAGCAGAATGAGGTTCTCCCTGTTGAAACAATCCCAAAAGCCAGCAGTAATCACCAGAGTCTTTTTTTCGTTCAAGCATGTTTTTCACCTTGGAGATCTTTATTGACTGTGAGTAGAGCAGAGGGCTTAGTTTCATATGGAAATCAGCACTGGTGCATGCCCTCCTCACCTGTGCTATTGCGGCCTTTGTTGGGGCACTGGAGAAAGTCTTGCAGGAGCCTGCCTACCACAGACCACCTGGAGGAGAGGAGAATCATCATGACAGATCTGGACTGAAGGATTCATGTCCTTTCCCTCTTGTCCATTCTGCCTGGGAACTCAGCTTATCCCCACAGCCATAGCCCTGCCTACTTCTTGGTCTGGCATCTCCAATGCATTTTCTCTCTGGAGGCTGCTGTGGGGTCAGAGCTGCTCAGCTCTTCTGCCAGCGAGTTCAGCAGCTGAGGTCCTCTCTGCAGTGGAGTGAGGTCTTCTCTGCTTCACGCTAAACCAAACTGACATTTGACTGAGTCCGCCACCCTCACCACTCCAGATGCCACAAGACCGTGCACTCTGGCTCCTTTCATCTCCTACATGCTGGAAAACCCAGTGTAAAAAGAGGCACCACAGCAACCCTCACGACTGCACACTCTGTGCCCACTGTGGGCATGGGGAGATGCCCAGGGTCCAGCTGGGGCTGGGGTTCTTCTGTGGAGCTGCTCTAGGGTCTCCAGAAATGTCTGAGTCCTGAAAATGGCAGGAAGGCAAGGTTTCTCAGAGAGATAATGCTTGTTGTGTGATAAATGAAAAGAGTTGAAAGAAATGGGCTAGCTTTCAGCAGCCAAGCATTTCCTCACTTCTCATCTGACCACAGGCTAGCCTCTTCCCTTTTTAACAGAGTGATGTTGGCTGGCCTAAGGCAATGTATTATCTCACCCTACAAACCTTGCCTCACTCAGGCCCTTGTGGCTACCACCACTAGAAGTGGTTTCTTTCCACTTCACCATCAGCCTGAGCTTCTTCATCCCATCTTCAGACAGCATTTGGAGAGCCAGGCCCCTTGGGTAAAGCCACTTCTCCTGGGAAGTGATGGACAACTTAAAGATCATCCCGCTAGGCTACAAAACCCCTCTGCTTGACTTCTGTGCATTCATTTCCTTTCTCGTTCTGTGCTCGAGTATTGTTCTAGCTGGGGACAAAGGTGCTGGTGGGAGTCCTGGGCTGTGGCTGCTTTGTGCTCACCTCCTCCTTTCTGGATCTGTGAGCTTGTAGCATGCATGCTCCCGTGTGAGAGCCCAGCCTCACCGGGGATGCCCGGTGCCTTCAGAGCTTGCAGAAAGCAGCACCGGGCAGTGAGATGAAGCAGAGCTGGAGGGAGCGATGAGGAGAGCCGAGGGGGAGTCTTGGTTTGCAGGCCCATCGCTTCAGTGCAGCGCTTGCGCGGTTGCAGTGCCAGGGAGGTGAGGCCCCAAAATCACACCCTCAGCAAGCCTGAAATCCCTCTGCCTGACAGATGCAGCTCAGCTGCTCTGTCCCCAGCCTCAGGCTCCGGGAGCACCCCTGCCTGGAGAGAGTGTAGACAGACAGACAGACACAGGAGGCCTGGACCACTCTGGCTATGTGTGCTGACAGATTTCTGCCCTCTCCGTTTATCAGATCGGCTTTTTCCCAGGCACTGCCCTTTGCTAGGTTCCAGAGGAATGCCCTCCCACTCCTACCAGCTGTATGGGAGAGGGGTGGATGCTGATCTCCTTTGCAGGAAACTCAGGTGTCCTAAGCTGTTTTTTCAGGGGTTTTTGGCCATCTCTGCTGTAGTTCGGCAACATCAGAGGTCATGGAAGGAAACGGTCCTCTGCTCAAGTAACTAAGTACAAAGCTGCGAGTTAATAGCTTACATCCTCTTGCAGCCACACGCTGTCTTCCTTTGCGGCCAGGTCCTGGCAGAAAGAGAGCAGCCTCCATCCAGTACTTCAGAAACTGTCTTGGTTCCCCTTGGTACAGAGAGATCTGCTCACATTACATTACAGTTATTCTTTCCAGGGAAAGCGGGTTTCTTTGCAAAATCAAGACATTTGTCCGCAGCCTCATGAGTGATTTGCTGCAGTAATGAGCCACAGGTTTCTGCAGACCGGAGTTGTACAAGCACTGAGGTGGCATGAGACCTGCACGCTCACTCCCCCATCACTGGTATTTTCTGCCTTGCCCTCTCCTCAGCAGCATCTGGCGGAGGGATGCTGCCGAATCTGTTTCTCCGCAAAGGCTTTTTGGAGAGGGAGTGGGGCTCTGACACACGTCATCGCTGTTTGATCTCTGGCACGCTTGGCTCCCCATCGGAGGGCTCGCACATAACGATGCTGCTTCGTTTGAGCATCTGTTATCACATCGTGCTGAGGCTGACAGATGCTTTCAAGCACAGTTAATGCCTGTCGGCAGCCCCAAGCCCACAGGCTGTGGTGTGGGAGGACCTGGAATCCCACTGGGGCCCTAAGCCTGGAGCCCGTGAGCCAGAGGCTGTTTATCCATTCTCAGAAGGTTGGAAATGTACCCAGTGAGTCCCAGTATCACCAGCAACTCTCTCGCCCCTAACATCCAGATATTTGTAAGCACCTCTGGCTTACAATTCATGACTGACCTGTTGAAGAGGGAGAACAGATTTTTCTTCTTAGTCATTCATCCAGCCGCTGAGGATCTCTCTGCATCTGGAAAACCCTGTAGCTTCATTTAATATACCTGGGGAAATCAGGCTTGTTATTCTCCTTCCTGATACAGGCTGGTGAACAGCTTGTTGTCCTCCTGTCTTTTGTTTCACAAGTGCCTTTACCCTATGAGGCTGTCCCTACCTTTGCAGTTCAAAGTGTCCTGGAATGGCTTTAAACTGCATTATAGGATCAAAGTGTCCAGGACAGAGTTACGGACATGCCTGTTCTCTGCCCCCAGCACAATGTTTGTGTTCTTAACCTTTGCAGGTTCTTTCTGACCATCTCCTGCCGCAAGGCTGGGCGCAGTTTCTCCCTGGTTCTCGAAAGCTGCAATGCGTTAGGAATCTGCCAGCTCCTTGAAATGGCTATTGCCATGGAGGCCTTTCCGTGTATGACAGCAGCGTGTGAGCTACTGTTACCAGGCAGGAGGAATTTGAGTGGTGGGAATACGGCTGGACAGTCATTGAGCTGTTACACGCACTTCTTGTTTCCAAGCATACGGTCCAGAAAGTTAAAAAGAAACCCCACCCTAGGAAAATCCCGTCCTTAGGCAAAGCACCCTTCTTCCTACCCCACCCTGTGCTTACTCACTGCCCAGCCTGTCACCCCCTGGATTCCCTTTCCCTTGGTCCAAAATATGGTGCCTAAATTTGACCTCCTTGGAATTTATGAGCCACATTTTATTTGCCTTTAAAAAATTTGGAGAGATGTAATTGTGCACATTATAGGCCGTTTTGAAACCCACAAAACTATTTTAAGCAGCAATTTGAAATTTTCTTTGATGAGAGTGATTGGGGCAGGAAATCACATGCAATAAAAAAGGAGGAAAATGTAATAAATGGGCCCTGGGCTATTATTTTAGCATCTTGTCAAGGACCTCTGTCATTCCTTTCACTCCGATCCCTCTTGTCATGTGCTGCCTGGCTATCCAAACTGGCCTGGGACGAGCCGAGCTGACACGGTGATAGATATGAAGCACAGAGTCACTATTTTGGCACCTTCCAAACAGCAGAAGACACTGTTTGGGAAATGTAGCTGCTCCCACCTTTCCCTCTGCCCTGGGAGTCATCAGAGGCTTGTCCAAGGCAGAGCTAGGGACCCCTCTCCCTCCCGCAAGGAGGGCAGAGAGAAGATAGGACGCTGGTGGCTGCCGATGTCCCACACTGTTTGCTTTCTTCCCAGCACACCCTGTGATTGAGAATGGGCAGGTGGAGTGTCCCCAGGGATACAAGAGGCTGAACCGGAGCCACTGCCAAGGTAAGGATGCTGCTTTCATATCTCTCTCTCCTTCCCACATCCAATGTCAAAGTTGTAATTATCTACACAAGTAAAATGCTATTATCTAACTCCCTGATATAGATCGGCGAAGAATGCAACTTACAAAAATCTCTCTGCTTTCATCAAAAATCAAAGAAAACCAGGTAACACTGGTAACATGACTCAGCTGATAAACATAGTCAGCGCATAGTTGGGCCAGCACGAGAAAACTCACCTGTTAGGTCCTACTGACTCAGTAAGGACCTATGTTGCTGCTCTGCTAAGTGTGAGTGTAAAAGCACTTCTCCCATAGTCTGAAGCAGTAGAAATGCTGTTGCCTGAAAACATTTGGGAAGGTTGTCGGCCTGTTCAGTTGTTCATTTACAAGTGAGAGAGTGCCATAAAAATGATTTCTTCTGGTCCGAGTGTGTCATTTGGCCATGCTGCCCGGCTGTCCTCCCTGCGCAACGCTGCTGGGGTCTGTCCATTTCTCACTCTGTCCTTCAGCTCCATAGGAGGAAGGCGGCATCTCTCCGCTTTTCTTTCTGATTCGTGTTTATTTGTCATCTCTTGGACCCACAGTGCTTGCGGTTTACATGCTCTGACTGAAGTGGAATTTTATGGTTCCCTTCTCGTGATTCATGATAAGCTGAGAGGTGTCATCTCGAAGAAGCAGCAGGGAGCCTGGGCCCTGGCCTTGCAAACCCCGGGGCTGACAATCTAATGACTCATCTCTTTTAGCTGGGACTTTCCACCATCCTTAATTAATGAATCAACCTCCCCACGTTGTCCTGGGGGAGAACTTTCAACAACGCAATGGCTTCTATTCTCCTCCGTGCTCAGATCTCATTCCTTATGCAGCCACAGACAGTGCTACGGGTATGAGGAGCTACCCAGAGACATCGAATAGGAGTCGGTGGAGCAGGGCAGCTGGAGGGACTCGTGTCAGTGAGCAGAGACCTGCAATGCCTGCTCTGGATGTGTCCCCTCTGGAGCAGAGGGAGGCTCAGAGGAGCAGAGGGATTCCTTTCCTTTCCTTTCCTTTCCTTTCCTTTCCTTTCCTTTCCTTTCCTTTCCTTTCCTTTCCTTTCCTTTCCTTTCCTTTCCTTTCCTTTCCTTTCCTTTCCTTTCCTTTCCTTTCCTTTCCTTTCCTTTCCTTTCCTTTCCTTTCCTTTCCTTTCCTTTCCTTTCCTTTCCTTTCCTTGCCTTTCCTTGCCTTGCCTTTCCTTGCCTTGCCTTGCCTTGAATTTCCTTGCCTTGCCTTTCCTTGCCTTGCCTTGCCTTGAATTTCCTTGCCTTGCCTTTCCTTGCCTTGCCTTTCCTTGCCTT